ACAAGGAGCCCTGGGGATGACGAGAGAAAAGGAGCCCTGGGGATGACGAGAGAAAAGGAGCCCTGGGGATGACGAGAGACAAGGAGCCCTGGGCATGACGAGAGAAAAGGAGCCCTGGGGATGACGAGAGAAAAGGAGCCCTGGGGATGACGAGAGAAAAGGAGCCCTGGGGATGACGAGAGACAAGGAGCCCTGGGGATGACGAGAGAAAAGGAGCCCTGGGGATGACGAGAGACAAGGAGCCCTGGGGATGACGAGAGAAAAGGAGCCCTGGGGATGACGAGAGAAAAGGAGCCCTGGGGATGACGAGAGAAAAGGAGCCCTGGGGATGACGAGAGAAAAGGAGCCCTGGGGATGACGAGAGACAAGGAGCCCTGGGCATGACGAGAGAAAAGGAGCCCTGGGGATGACGAGAGAAAAGGAGCCCTGGGGATGACGAGAGACAAGGAGCCCTGGGGATGACGAGAGAAAAGGAGCCCTGGGGATGACGAGAGACAAGGAGCCCTGGGCATGACGAGAGAAAAGGAGCCCTGGGGATGACGAGAGAAAAGGAGCCCTGGGGATGACGAGAGAAAAGGAGCCCTGGGGATGACGAGAGACAAGGAGCCCTGGGGATGACGAGAGAAAAGGAGCCCTGGGGATGACGAGAGACAAGGAGCCCTGGGGATGACGAGAGAAAAGGAGCCCTGGGGATGACGAGAGAAAAGGAGCCCTGGGGATGACGAGAGACAAGGAGCCCTGGGCATGACGAGAGAAAAGGAGCCCTGGGGATGACGAGAGAAAAGGAGCCCTGGGGATGACGAGAGAAAAGGAGCCCTGGGGATGACGAGAGAAAAGGAGCCCTGGGGATGACGAGAGACAAGGAGCCCTGGGCATGACGAGAGAAAAGGAGCCCTGGGGATGACGAGAGAAAAGGAGCCCTGGGGATGACGAGAGAAAAGGAGCCCTGGGGATGACGAGAGAAAAGGAGCCCTGGGGATGACGAGAGACAAGGAGCCCTGGGCATGACGAGAGAAAAGGAGCCCTGGGGATGACGAGAGAAAAGGAGCCCTGGGGATGACGAGAGAAAAGGAGCCCTGGGGATGACGAGAGACAAGGAGCCCTGGGGATGACGAGAGAAAAGGAGCCCTGGGGATGACGAGAGAAAAGGAGCCCTGGGGATGACGAGAGACAAGGAGCCCTGGGCATGACGAGAGAAAAGGAGCCCTGGGGATGACGAGAGAAAAGGAGCCCTGGGGATGACGAGAGAAAAGGAGCCTTGGGGATGACGAGAGAAAAGGAGCCCTGGGGATGACGAGAGACAAGGAGCCCTGGGCATGACGAGAGAAAAGGAGCCCTGGGGATGACGAGAGAAAAGGAGCCCTGGGGATGACGAGAGAAAAGGAGCCCTGGGGATGACGAGAGAAAAGGAGCCCTGGGGATGACGAGAGACAAGGAGCCCTGGGCATGACGAGAGAAAAGGAGCCCTGGGGATGACGAGAGAAAAGGAGCCCTGGGGATGACGAGAGAAAAGGAGCCCTGGGGATGACGAGAGAAAAGGAGCCCTGGGGATGACGAGAGACAAGGAGCCCTGGGGATGACGAGAGACAAGGAGCCCTGGGGATGACGAGAGAAAAGGAGCCCTGGGGATGACGAGAGAAAAGGAGCCCTGGGGATGACGAGAGAAAAGGAGCCCTGGGGATGACGAGAGACAAGGAGCCCTGGGCATGACGAGAGAAAAGGAGCCCTGGGGATGACGAGAGAAAAGGAGCCCTGGGGATGACGAGAGAAAAGGAGCCCTGGGGATGACGAGAGACAAGGAGCCCTGGGCATGACGAGAGAAAAGGAGCCCTGGGGATGACGAGAGAAAAGGAGCCCTGGGGATGACGAGAGAAAAGGAGCCCTGGGGATGACGAGAGACAAGGAGCCCTGGGCATGACGAGAGAAAAGGAGCCCTGGGGATGACGAGAGAAAAGGAGCCCTGGGGATGACGAGAGAAAAGGAGCCCTGGGGATGACGAGAGAAAAGGAGCCCTGGGGATGACGAGAGAAAAGGAGCTTTGGGGATGACGAGAGACAAGGAGCCCTGGGGATGACGAGAGAAAAGGAGCCCTGGGGATGACGAGAGAAAAGGAGCCCTGGGGATGACGAGAGAAAAGGAGCCCTGGGGATGACGAGAGAAAAGGAGCCCTGGGGATGACGAGAGACAAGGAGCCCTGGGGATGACGAGAGACAAGGAGCCCTGGGCATGACGAGAGAAAAGGAGCCCTGGGGATGACGAGAGAAAAGGAGCCCTGGGGATGACGAGAGACAAGGAGCCCTGGGGATGACGAGAGAAAAGGAGCCCTGGGGATGACGAGAGACAAGGAGCCCTGGGCATGACGAGAGAAAAGGAGCCCTGGGGATGACGAGAGAAAAGGAGCCCTGGGGATGACGAGAGAAAAGGAGCCCTGGGGATGACGAGAGAAAAGGAGCCCTGGGGATGACGAGAGACAAGGAGCCCTGGGGATGACGAGAGAAAAGGAGCCCTGGGGATGACGAGAGAAAAGGAGCCCTGGGGATGACGAGAGACAAGGAGCCCTGGGCATGACGAGAGAAAAGGAGCCCTGGGGATGACGAGAGAAAAGGAGCCCTGGGGATGACGAGAGAAAAGGAGCCCTGGGGATGACGAGAGAAAAGGAGCCCTGGGGATGACGAGAGACAAGGAGCCCTGGGCATGACGAGAGAAAAGGAGCCCTGGGGATGACGAGAGAAAAGGAGCCCTGGGGATGACGAGAGAAAAGGAGCCCTGGGGATGACGAGAGAAAAGGAGCCCTGGGGATGACGAGAGACAAGGAGCCCTGGGCATGACGAGAGAAAAGGAGCCCTGGGGATGACGAGAGAAAAGGAGCCCTGGGGATGACGAGAGAAAAGGAGCCCTGGGGATGACGAGAGACAAGGAGCCCTGGGCATGACGAGAGAAAAGGAGCCCTGGGGATGACGAGAGAAAAGGAGCCCTGGGGATGACGAGAGAAAAGGAGCCCTGGGGATGACGAGAGAAAAGGAGCCCTGGGGATGACGAGAGACAAGGAGCCCTGGGCATGACGAGAGAAAAGGAGCCCTGGGGATGACGAGAGAAAAGGAGCCCTGGGGATGACGAGAGAAAAGGAGCCCTGGGGATGACGAGAGAAAAGGAGCCCTGGGGATGACGAGAGACAAGGAGCCCTGGGGATGACGAGAGACAAGGAGCCCTGGGGATGACGAGAGAAAAGGAGCCCTGGGGATGACGAGAGAAAAGGAGCCCTGGGGATGACGAGAGAAAAGGAGCCCTGGGGATGACGAGAGAAAAGGAGCCCTGGGGATGACGAGAGACAAGGAGCCCTGGGCATGACGAGAGACAAGGAGCCCTGGGGATGACGAGAGAAAAGGAGCCCTGGGGATGACGAGAGAAAAGGAGCCCTGGGGATGACGAGAGAAAAGGAGCCCTGGGGATGACGAGAGACAAGGAGCCCTGGGCATGACGAGAGAAAAGGAGCCCTGGGGATGACGAGAGAAAAGGAGCCCTGGGGATGACGAGAGAAAAGGAGGCCTGGGGATGACGAGAGACAAGGAGCCCTGGGCATGACGAGAGAAAAGGAGCCCTGGGGATGACGAGAGAAAAGGAGCCCTGGGGATGACGAGAGAAAAGGAGCCCTGGGGATGACGAGAGAAAAGGAGCCCTGGGGATGACGAGAGACAAGGAGCCCTGGGCATGACGAGAGAAAAGGAGCCCTGGGGATGACGAGAGAAAAGGAGCCCTGGGGATGACGAGAGAAAAGGAGCCCTGGGGATGACGAGAGAAAAGGAGCCCTGGGGATGACGAGAGAAAAGGAGCCCTGGGGATGACGAGAGAAAAGGAGCCCTGGGGATGACGAGAGACAAGGAGCCCTGGGCATGACGAGAGAAAAGGAGCCCTGGGGATGACGAGAGAAAAGGAGCCCTGGGGATGACGAGAGAAAAGGAGCCCTGGGGATGACGAGAGAAAAGGAGCCCTGGGGATGACGAGAGAAAAGGAGCCCTGGGGATGACGAGAGAAAAGGAGCCCTGGGGATGACGAGAGACAAGGAGCCCTGGGGATGACGAGAGAAAAGGAGCCCTGGGGATGACGAGAGAAAAGGAGCCCTGGGGATGACGAGAGACAAGGAGCCCTGGGCATGACGAGAGAAAAGGAGCCCTGGGGATGACGAGAGAAAAGGAGCCCTGGGGATGACGAGAGAAAAGGAGCCCTGGGGATGACGAGAGAAAAGGAGCCCTGGGGATGACGAGAGACAAGGAGCCCTGGGGATGACGAGAGAAAAGGAGCCCTGGGGATGACGAGAGAAAAGGAGCCCTGGGGATGACGAGAGAAAAGGAGCCCTGGGGATGACGAGAGACAAGGAGCCCTGGGGATGACGAGAGAAAAGGAGCCCTGGGGATGACGAGAGAAAAGGAGCCCTGGGGATGACGAGAGACAAGGAGCCCTGGGGATGACGAGAGAAAAGGAGCCCTGGGGATGACGAGAGAAAAGGAGCCCTGGGGATGACGAGAGAAAAGGAGCCCTGGGGATGACGAGAGAAAAGGAGCCCTGGGGATGACGAGAGAAAAGGAGCCCTGGGGATGACGAGAGACAAGGAGCCCTGGGGATGATGGGGAGTCGAGACACGAGGGGAGCCTTGGGAAGGAAGAGGCGGAGGCAAAGTGAGGGAGGAGAAATATGCGGAATGGAAGGGGAAGGGAAGAATGAAGAAGAAGAGATATGTGGAAGACCACCACGCGGAATGAAGGGGAAGGGAAGAAAAGGCGTGAGGTAGGATCAAGACAGGAGGCGAGTATTGGGGAGGGGAGAGAACCAGGCATACATGCTTGTGACTTTTGAGTCACCTCAGAAAGCATGTATACATGCTTGTTCTGAGGTGGCTTCTGACTTAAAAGCCACCTCAGAACCAGGCATACATGCTTCTATGCAAGGAATCAATTAAACACACTCGATACCGTGGGTGGGCAAGAGAGAGAGGAAAATATTACCTTAAGTTGCCTGAGCGACCCGGTGACTTGATCTGATGTGAGCACACTCATTGGTTCTGGCTTGAACCTGGTCAGAACCAAAGGGCATGCACACACGCACGCACACACACAGCACATCACGGGTACGTGGTGAGGGAATGAGGGTAAACGGTTCATGCAAAGGCCTCGCTTGATGTGAACACACTGATTGGCTCTGGCTTGAATAGGATATTTGCATCCTGCCCAAATAGGACGTTTGTTTGGGCAACCAGGTCAACCAAGTCAATCCCTCCCTTCCCTTCCCTTACACTCACTTATGCCGTCCCAGTCTCGGTGCCCTCTTCATCCTCAGTTCCACCTGTGCAATCTCCCTCCTCACACGCCTCTTCTAGTAAGGTCAATGCAGTCAATTCAGTCAACAAAGTCAATCCACTCACTTGTGTCGTCCCAATCGCGGAGCTCGCTTCATCCTCAGTTCCACCCGTGCAATCTCCCTCCTAACGCGCCTCTTCTAGCAAGGTCAATGCAGTCAAGCAAGTCAACGCACTCACTTGTGTCTCCCCAGTCCCAGAGGCCTCTTCATCCTCGGATCCAATCGTGCAATCTCCCTCCTCACACGCCTTTTCTAATTGAATCAACAGGGTCAGGTCAAAGAAGTCAAAGCAGTCAACGCACTTACTTATGTCTCCCCAGCCTGGGTGCTCGCTTCATCCTCAGTTCCACCCGTGCAATCTCCCTCCTCACCCTCCTCTTCTCCGCCTCCTCCCTCTCCTCCTCCAGATCCCTCTGCAAATCCTTCAACCGGTCTAGATCCTTCCGCATCGCCTTCAGTTTCCTCCGCTTTGCCAGTTCTGCTTCCACCAATTTGTGCCGCATGCGCCGGTTCAGATCCGCCCTGGTGAGACGCTTTGGCACTCTGTGCCTGGTGGTGGTGAGGCGGGGAAGGAAGGCAAGAGGGAATGGGTTAACCATCGCCTCCAGTTTCCTCCTCCTCGTCAATTCTGCTTCCACCAATTTGTGCCGCATGCGCCGATTCAAATCCGCCCTGGTGAGAAGCTTTGGCACTCTGTGCCTGGTGGTGGTGAGGCGGGGATGGAAGGCAAGAGGAAATGGGTTAACCATCGGATTCAGTTTCCTCCTCCTCGTCAGTTCTGCTTCCACCAATTTGTGCCGCATGCGCCGATTCAGATCGGCTCTGGTGAGGCGTTTGGGCACTCTGTGTCTGGTGGTGGTGGGGAAGAGGGAGGGGACACGGGGCGAAAGAGAATGGGAGGGGGAGGGTCGAACCTCCTCTCTCCATCCACCCTCCTCCGCTTTGCCAGTTAGTTCTGCCTTCACCGCTTCTCCACCTCTGCTTACACCAGTCGGTGCCGCATGCGCCGATTCAGATTGGCTTGAGTCAAGCGTTTGGGCACCCTATGCCTGGTGGTGGTGGGGAGGAGAGAAAGGCAAGAGGGGACGGGTCAATCCTCTCTCCATCCAGCCTTCACCGTTTCTTCACTTCTGCTTAAACCAGTCGGTGCCACATGCGCCGATTCAGATCGGCTCGAGTCAGGCGCTTGGGCACTCTGTGTCTGGTTGGGGGAAAAGAGAAGACAGTGCGAGAAATGGGACCGTGTTTTGAGTCGATTCAAAACACAGCTTGGGCACTCTGTGTCTGGTTGGGGGAAAAGAAAAGGAAAAGAGAAGACAGTGTGAGAAAGGGGAAGAAAAGGAAAAAAGAAGCACTTAGATGATGTATGTGTCAAAGAAATCGCAAACAGAGTTAAGGACAACAAGGTTATGAGGGACTGATGAATACTTCAAGTGTAGTACAGACAAACCAAAAAGAAAGGGAGACGATGTAAAATAGAAAGAAGGTGAGAACTTGGAAGGGAGAATAAGGCTGCTTACTTGGTGACAGCAGCAGTGTTGCCATCCTCATCCTCCTCTTCCTCCTCCTCCTCCTCTTCATCTTCCTCTCCTTGAGTCAGAAAGAAATCCTGATGGCACGGAACATACGAGAAGGAGAAAGAGAAGGGAAGGAGGGGAAGGGGCGAAGGAGAGAGAGGGAAGGCAGAGAGGCAAGAAGCAGCATATCAAAGTGACTCGGAGGGGGAGGCAAGGGGAACGGAGAGGGACGGGGCACAGAGGCAGGCAACAACGAATCAAAGTGATTCTGAGTTAACTCATAAGTCACCTCGGAAGGAGATGCAAGGGAAAAGTAGAGGGAGGGGAGGGAGGCAGAGAGGCAAGAAGCAACAGAAGAGAAAGAGAAAGAGAAGGGAAGGAGGGGAAGGGGCGAAGGAGAGAGAGAGGGGAGGCAGAGAGGCAAGAAGCAGCATATCAAAGTGACTTGGAAGGGGAGGCAAGGGGAAAGGAGAGGGAGGGGAGGCATATATGCAGCAGCAGAGCATTAATATTTTTTCCCTCCCTCCCCTCTTCCCCACTTTCGTCCCAATGCCTACAATAACCACACACCCACTGCACCGTATCTTGTTCCACCGCACTCAACCTCAACGCGTGCCACCCTAACCCATTCTGGGGTGGTGTGGGTGCCAGAAGAACTACCTGGTGTTTCCCATACAATACCCACACCCATAGCACTGTACCTCACTCCACCGCACTCCACCTCCTTAAACTCACCGCTGCCTCCTGCATCCGTGCTTCCTCCTCCTCTGCTCGTGACACCATCAGCTGCGACGGTGTGGGGGCGAGCACTACCCACACCACACCACACCACACCACACCACACCCACTGCACTGTACCTCACTCCACCGCAATCAAACCCACCACATTCCACACCACCCATTCTCACCGCTGCCTCCTGCATCCGTGCTTCCTCCTCCTCTGCCCGCGACACCATCAGCTGCGGCGGTGTGGGCGCCAGTGCTGCCTGGTAGCTCTCCTTTAATTCCTCCGCCACTGCCACTGCGATGGCATCCTGTAGACACAAAAGACAAAAGGACACATGGGAGAGTGAAGGCAAGGGGGCAGGGGAAGAGTGAGACGGGGCGTGGGCGCCAGTGCTGCCTGGTAGCTCTCCTTTAATTCCTCCGCCACTGCCACTGCGATGGCATCCTGAGGGGAATAAAAACGGGGGGAACAAGGGCAAAGGTGGAATGTAGGGAAGCAGTGTGGGCGCCAGTGCTTCCTGGTAGCTCTCCTTTAATTCCTCCGCCACTGCCACTGCGATGGCATCCTGAGAGGAGAAGAACAAAGGCCATGAAACGTGGAATGAAAGGGGGCAGTGTGGGCGCCAGCGCTGCCTGGTAGCTCTCTTTAAGCTCCTCCGCCACTGCCACTGCGATGGCATCCTGAGGAAGCAAAAGATAAAGGACAGGGGGCGAGGAGAACCAAGGAGCTGGCTGGGTGTGAGCGCCAGTGCTGCCTGGTAGCTAGCAGCCAGGGGCGTCAATCTCGACTGCAGGAAAGGCAGACCCTTCGAATGCCTCAGCAGGCAAACACTGGTGCTGTCCAGTTAAGAGCGCTGAAACCCACCTGATGCTCTTCGATAGACGGGTTGAAGGAGCAGCCAGGGGTGTCGATCTCGACTGCAGGAATCGCAGACCCTGGCTTGTTCCTCTCCTCCTTGCCTCCTATCATCTTCCCATCGCCCCTCCTCACTCTCTGCCCCACCGCCCCTCCTCGTCCCCTACCACACAAAATGCCACAAGTGTACCTGATGCTCTTCGATAGAGGGGTTGAAGGAGCACCCAGGAGCGTCAATCTCAACTGCAGGAATCGAAGACCCTGGCTTGTTCCTCTCCTCCTTGCCGCCTATCATCTTCCCATCGCCTCTCCTCCTCACTCGCTCTTCCACCTCCCCTCCTCCCCCTGGTGTTGCCTTGTCCGTAGCGCGAACACCACGGCGGTTGCCAGCTAGATCTGTTACACAATACGAATACGAATGGTGCGCGACAAACAGGCGGTTAGACATGCGAAGGTGCATAAACAAACACACATGCTACACACACACACACACACACACACACACACACACGCACGCACGCACACACACACACACATGCACGCACGCACGCACGCACGCTCACACACACACACACACACACACACACACACACACTTGGCGTTTTGTCACATCACATCAATAGAGGTGCCAACCAACCCTTTTGTAGAATCTCAAAAGCGACTTCAGTTTTGTCAACCTATAATGTGTTGCCACATGAGCGCACATACACATTAATCACACACATGCACGCGAAACAATCTTGTTTAGAGGCGCCTCAAAACTAGCGCGCATATACAATAACCACACGCATGCACGCGAAGCAATCTTGCATTGTCAATCCATAATCTGCCTCCCTTCCTCAACCCCATTCTCACCCCTCCCCATCATCCCCTCCCCATCATCCCCTCACCATCATCCCCGCTTCCCACCATCGCCCTACTGTCTCCCTAACCTTCCTCACTCAAGCCCCTCTTCCTCATCTACTTCGTCTGGTAAACCCTCCTATACCCGCCTTGCCATTATCTCTTTCCCACCATCGCCCTACTGTCTCCCTAACCTTCCTCACTCAAGCCTCTCTTCCTCATCTACTTCGTCTGGTAAACCCTCCTATAACCGCCTTGCCAAACCCCCCTCCCATTCCTCCCCTCACCCCTCCACCACCACCCCATAATCCCCCTCCCCTTCCTCCCCTCACCCCTCCACCACCACCCCATAATCCCCCTCCCCTTCCTTCCTCCCCTAATCCAACCACCACCATCCCATTATCCCCCTCCCCTTCCTTCCTCCCCTAATCCAACCACCACCATCCCATTATCCCCCTCCCCTTCCTTCCTCCCCTAATCCAACCACCACCATCCCATTATCCCCCTCCCCTTCCTTCCTCCCCTAATCCAACCACCACCATCCCATTATTCCCCTCTCCTGCCTCCAAAACCCCAAGGCCGCCTTGCCCGCCCAGCATCCACCTCCCTCCCTCACCCCACCCAACTCCCCATCGTCACACCCCTCCCTCTCACCTTCATCCGCCCACAGATCGAAAAGTGGCTTCTGAGAGTTCTTCCTTGCCTGCAAAAACCCACAACCCCGACCCCACAACTCAGTAAGAAGAAATCCCGAAACCTCCTTAAATCCGGGCGTTACATACACAAATTTAAATCTTGAATCGCGCGAACCCGAAACCCTGCTTCTCGCACCTTCTTGGACAAACCCCTGCTAATGTTTGTCCACGCGCACTTGGACGCACATCTTGCGTCCAGTGCGCGTGGACAAACCCGAAACCCTGCTTCTCGCACCTTCTTGGCGCGCCTCTTTCCTCCTGCAACCCCTGAATCCGCCGCAACAATTTCTTTCCCGCCAGAACTCGTGCTGGCACTGTGAACGATAGCCATAGCCCCTTCCCCACTTGCTGCTGCAACGATTTCCCCTCCGCCGCTGTCCCCACTCTCCTCTGCCCCTCCCCCTCCCCCTCCCCCTCTTTCTGCGGGCGCCAGCGCAACCCCAGCGCTATCCGCGGGCTTATCCGCAGATGCATTTGCGGGTTTATCCGAGGGTTTATTAGCGAGTTTTTCGGAGGGTTTAGCGCTGCTTTTGGCGCGCGCCGGGGAGGGTTCGGGAACGAGCGGCGGAACGAGCGAGCTGCGCTTGAGGATGGCGTCAGCGTGTGACTCGCGCGCGCGCCACTTGTCCACCTTGCGCAGCTTGGGCGCAACTGGACGGGGGGAGGGGGAAGGGAAGGTGAGGAGACAAAGGGGTTTGGAGGGGTGGAAAGCGGCAAAATACATTTCAGCTTAACGTCCACATGCGACTCGTGCGCGCGCCATTTGTCCACCTTGCGCAGCTTGGGCGCAACTGGACGGGGGAGGGGGAAGGGAAGGTGAGGAGACAAAGGGGTTTGGAGGGGTGGAAAGCGGCAAAATACATTTTAGCTTAACGTCCACATGCGACTCATCCGCGCGCAATTTGTCCACCTCGCGCAGCTTAGGCGCAACTGGCGAAGAAAAGGGGGAGCGGGGGAGAGCGCGAGAAAGGGGTGGCGGGGGAGGGATGAGTGGGCGAGGGTAGTGGCGGGACATTGCGCGGAAAAGATGTGGTTGAGATGAGGGGTCGAGCACCATACCTTTAGACTTATCGACGAAGAAGATGTTTTCGCTGAAATGGCATCGGGTGTAACTATGAGGCACCTATTTTTTCTAAAAGTTAGACTAGATGCGTGGACTACCTTTGGACTTATCGACGAAGAAGATGTTTTCGCTGGGAACGGCGTCAAGCGCGCCGCCGCTGCGCTCGTCGCGGCCCTTCTCCTCGAGGAACTTGTCGTGGTCCGCCGTGCTGATGTTCCGCCGCCACTCCTTCTTCCCCTTCCGCGACTTGCGGCTCCGCGCCATGCGTCAACAACGATCCGGGGAGTACAAAAACGGGGAAATAACGGTTAAACAGGCGAATCGGGTCCGCTGATTTTCTACGGCGAGGCTGCTTGCTGTAGGCTGAAACGAAGAGAGTCGCCAAGGAAGATGTGTAGGACTAGTTTTAGGGAAGCGTCCCGCGATGCTTTCTCTGTGGCTAGAAGGCGGGACAGACTGGGAAGGGGGGTTCGGGTTGTCCAAATGAAGGTTTATGATTTTACACCCAAGTAGGTTGCGGAAACCTTGGCAGGACGAACTACTAATGTATGCATGTTTAATCACTTCAACCACGTTTATCGAAGCATCTGATACACTAGCATATGATGACATCATCACGGCGTGGTTGAGGTAACGCCTGTCTGTTCACATTGGTTTCCAGCGGGAAATTCCGACTGTGATTGGATAACCTTTTCCAGTTTCGCATGCATGAACACGTCACCCATGACAGGGAACACTTTCGTGTGCTCTTCCTCCAAGTTGAGGGGGGAATCAGGTACGGAACGGAATGGAACTCCATTCCAGCCGTCCAAAACTATGACAGCCAAACAAACTTCTTTGTTCAAATACGATAATGTGCGTTTCTGTACGTTACAGAACGGTTCTTGCTGGCTTGGTACCAAAATCTGTTCGAACCAAGCGTCAACCAGTCTGCCTGGTTCGAACGAAATCGAACCCGACTGCAGCACGCAGCGGATCAATCTTTACCATCAGATCTGTCGGCCTCGATAATCTACAGCACACAGGTGCTTGAATGTTTGACGGCTGCACAGCACAGCACGACTGCTAGGGAAGGCCAGCCTGTGGCCTACACGAGTTCGTCTGCAGATCGTTTAGTCCGGTTCGCCTGATTTACAATGGGTACCATATGGTTGTCATTGAAATCTCGTTTGACCGTAGCTTACCGAACATAACCGTGATAAGTTGACAGGAAAGAAGAGATCGACACGAGGCACTATTTTAGGAGCAACACTCACCAGACACGCTTTAGTGGCTGCTCATTGTTTCTCTGTTTCTGGTTCTTGCATCGCGACTACTCCTTAGTCCACGCCTTGGTTGTGTAGCTAACTCCACCTCACTGCACAGCCACCATCACGAGATCAACCTGCGGAGCGGCGCGGCTCGAATCGCGATTAGATACACGTGTCGCTAACATGGCCGTATGGATTCACCCATTAGTTTGTTGGTAGCTGTCTCGCGGCTAGTCATTGAGTCCCGAGACGCCTCGTTCCGCGTCAATCCATAGGTGGTAGTCGCGATTTGGCGATAGATTGATCGTGAGGCTTCTCGTCGCGTCGTCGGGAGTAGCCGAATATAGACGTCTTTAGGTGGCCTTTGCGAGACGTAGATAGTAAGCAGTCTGGCTATAGGTCGATGTTGAGGCTACTTTTATTAACAGACAGAAACCACCAGCCCTTCTTTCTTAGTACAATGCGCATTCGGCGGGAATCGGGTTATACTTAGTGCAAGCACCCTTATTTCTCCTCGACCACGATTTCTGACTAAATTCCACTAGTTTCTCGATCTAATTCCCGCCATGGGTTGGCGTCTAACCGACTTATTCTCCACGTCAGACTCGTCGTCATCCGCCACGTCACGCTCTCAGCAAACCGCCAGCAACGTGTCCTCGTCGCCCTCCGCCGCTTACGTGTCATCCACACCGTCAGCAGTCCCATCAGCAGCCGCGCCTGCGGTTCCTGGAGGGGCGGTACCCGCACCGACATCTCGAGCCGCGTCTGGAGCCACGTCTCAAGCCGCAGGGGTTAGATATGGGGTCGCATCTGGTGGTAACTCTCACATGTCGCGCCTCGACGCCGCAGCCGCCGCCGCCGCCGCCGCTCCGCTCGCCACCGCGCCAGGCGCAACGCCCGCCGTGATCGTTATCGCGCCGCCGCAACGCCCCTCCTCTTCCGCCATCTCCCCGCTTCCGCCGTCCGCCTTCGCGCCTGCCACGCGCGGCGGCGGCCCCGCGGCCGTTCCACCGCTAGCTCGCCCTGATGCTTCCCCCTCCGCCACTCCCCCTTCCGACGCTGCGGGGGACACGTTTTTCTCCCCGCGAAACTCGTTTTCCTCCGCGCATGGTTTTTCCGCCCGGGAATCTTCATCTCCTTTTAGTCACCATTCCCTAGACTCCGCCCACCCGTCGAGTCGCGTTTCTAGTGGCCTCCGTGCCGGCCGGTCGCTGCCGTCCTTCGATCCGTCGATCCGGAAACCGCGGAGACCGCACGACCTTCTTTTTCTGGTTCTGTTCGTAGCATGCCTAGTCGGCACGGGATACGCGTCGGTTCGGATCGGTTGTTCGCGGTGGACGATTCCGCCTCCTAGCAATACCACCACCACCAGCAGTAGTAGCAGTAGCAGCAAGAATGTTGATCACTCTACGAAGGAGTTCTGGCCGGTTCTGATGGTAGCAGCAGCGGTGGCGCTAGCAGCGGGGACGGTACTGCTGCAGCTACTATTTTTCTACACTAACATGGCGATTAAAGTGGTAGTTCATGTGCTGACGACGTATATAGCCGTAGTTAGCGTGTTCTGCTTCTGGGATAAGGAGTACTTTTGGGGGATCTTCTTCGCTATAGGCGCTGTGCTGCAATTCGTATACGCCATTGCGGTGGTGGATAGGTGAGTGTATGTTATGTGCTAGTAACGAGAAAGTATAAGCGAGTATAAACTGTAATTTGTGTTTATTCCACGTTGCAGTTTGCACGATTCCTCTTTCATTCCCTGCCTGTCCCCTCCTTCTCTCTGGTACCCCCCCCCCCTTGCCCCTTCCCCTCCTCTCCCCCTCCTCTCCAAACCCCCCTTGCAGAATTGCGTACACCTTGCTGGTTGTGCGTAGAGCTCTGGGATTGGCCCGGGGCTTCCCGCTGCTGATCCTCTTCGCCCCCTCCCCTCACCCGCGCCTTCTCCCCCGCCGCTTCCTCCCCCTCCTCCCCTTACCTCCCCCCCTCCCCCCCATCCCCACCAGAATTGCGTACACCATGTTGGTTGTGCGTAGAGCTCTGGGATTCGCCAGGGGTTTCCCGCTGCTGATCCTCTTCGCCCACGTGGCAGCGCTGCTGCTTGCCACGTGGATGGGCGTGTGGACGTTCGGAGTGTCAGGGATCATGGCGCAGGACCAAGCGAAGCTGGAACGATGGTGGATATTACTGGTGAGGCTTCATAATTGTGAGGGAGGGGAGGAAAGGGGGAGTGGGGTGAGAGGGTGGGGAGGGAGCGGACTTGTGAGGCGATTCAAACGCCGTGTGGACGTTCGGCGTGTCAGGGATCATGGCACTGGACCAAACGAAGCTGGAGAGATGGTGGATTCTGCTGGTGAGTTTCAATTGTTGGGGGAGGGATTGGGGAGTGGTGGGGAGATAGTGGGGTGGGAGGGGGCTTGTGAGGCGATTCAAAGGGCGTCTGGACGTTCGGCGTGTCAGGGATCATGGCGCAGGACCAAGCGAAGCTGGAGCGATGGTGGATTCTACTGGTGAGGCATTAGTGGGGTGGAAGAGCGGAGAGCGGGGAGCGGGGAGCAAGGAGCGGGGGTAGGGGGGGGATGATGCGTCAATCTAAAGGGCGTGTGGACGTTCGGCGTGTCAGGGATCATGGCACAGGACCAAGCTAAGCTGGAGCGCTGGTGGATTCTGCTGGTGAGTCCATTTGAGAGAGGGAAGCAGGGGAGTTGGGGGGCTTTGAGCCGACATGAAAGGCCCCTGGACGTTGGTTGTGTCTGGGATCATGGCGCAGGACCAAGCTAAGCTGGAGCGCTGGTGAAATCTGCCTGTTATTTATTCCTCCTGGTCTGACTTTGGACATACCCACCCGCCCGCCCGCCCAATCCCCCTCTGCCACGTCAGCTCTTCGCGATGAGCATATTCTGGACGGCGGCGGTTGTCTGCAACATGGTGCACGTGGTGACAGCTGGCGTGATGTCAGCGTGGTTCGCCGCCAGCTCAGCAGAGCAGAACGCCAGCTCAGCAGCAGCGGGCGAGGCGGCTTCCGCAGCGGAGGAGGGACGGGGAGGTGCGGCGGTGCCACCTCAGCAGTTCCAGTTGGCGCCAGGGCGTGTCACTCTGGAGGCCACGTGGCATGCTCTGATTGGCCTTGGGAGCATTTGCTACGGATCGCTTTTCAGCCCTCCGATTCGCGTGATGCGATGGATGGTGAGGATTGAAAGTTCTCTGGATAAGACCTTTTCGGGGCATGCATGCATGGTGCATTGCCAACGAATTCTTTTTCTTCATCAAATCAAACTCACCCTCATTACACCAACTGTCGCTACCTCTCCCCTCCCTCCTTTCGTACCCATAACACCATGCCACCCAAACTCTAGATCCGGGGAGTGCGGGCATGGTGCATAGCCAACGAGTGCTTCCTCTTCTCCATCATCAACCCCCTCCCCTCACCTCGCCCTTATCTCCTGGTTCCCCCTTTCACCCTGCCACCCACACCCACACCCACACCCACACCCACACCCACACCCACACCCACACCCACACCCACACCCACACCCACACCCACACACATCAGATCCGCGGAGTGCGCGCCTGGTGCATCGGTAGCGAGTGCGCGCCTGGTGGCATAGCCAACGAGTGCTTCTTCTCCATCATCAACCCCGCTTCCACTCAACTTCACCCACTCTTCCCATCCCTTCCCCCCTCTCCCCTCCCGTGCCTCCTCTCCCGCATATCCGGACAAACATCAGATCCGGGGAGTGCGCGCCTGGTGCATAGCCAACGAGTGCTTCTTCTGCATCATCAACCCCACCCTCTCCACCTGCTCTGCCTACCTGCCTCTCACCCCTTCGTACCACTCTAGATCCGGGGCGTGCGAGCGTGGTGCATAGCCAACGAGTGCTTCTTCTTTATCATCAACCTCGCATTCAACTTCATCGAGGCTCTCACGCGGGCCTTCAATGCTTTCGGCTTTGTCACGGTGAGTTGGAAAGCTCTTACCCGGACGCTCAGAAAAAAATCAGTACAAGCCAATGCAACCTCGCATTCAACTGCATCGAAGCTCTCACCCGTGCCATTAATGCGGTCGGCTTTGTCACGGTGAGAATGCCGACCGCCTTCAACTTGCCCTCCCTCCTCCATTTGTCAATCCACAGCAACAGCTTCAATGGCTCATTTTTTGGGCGCCGCAATTTTTGGGCGCCTCATTTATGGGAGGAGTTTCAACCGCTCATCGGTCGAGGCATGGGAGCTGTTCCAGTCGACAGGTGTGGAGGCAGTGATAGCGTACGACCTCTCAGGGGCTGTGCTGCTGATGGCTGTGATGCTGGTGCCACCCCTGCTGCTGCTGCTGCGGCTGCTGATTCCCCTCCTTGCCTCCCTGCCTGCCTCCTCCCCTCCCCCCTCCAGCTTGCCATGTATGGGAGGAGTTTCAATCGCTCCTCAGTCGATGCATGGGAGCTGTTCCAATCCACAGGCGTGGAGGCATTCATAGCATACGACCTATCAGGAGCCGTGCTGCTCATCGCCGTGATGCTGCTGCTGCTGATGCTGCCCCTGCTGCTTTTGCTGCTGTTAACGCCACATTCTCTCCCCCCCCCCCCCCCTGCACCCCCTTCCTGCCCGCCCTCCCTTCCCTCCGCCCCTCAGCTGGCAATGTATGGGAGGAGTTTCAACCGGTCATCCGTCGATGCATGGGAGCTGTTTCAGTCGACAGGCGTGGAGGCAGTGATAGCATACGACCTCTCAGGAGCAGTGCTGCTGATGGCTGTGATGCTGGCGGCGATGGTGGCAGGGACGGCAGCGGGCGTGTGGGGATGGTTCGTGGCTCAAGAGCTGGTGGTGGTGATTGGAGCGATGGGGATCGTCACAGGAGCAGCAATGGTGAGTGGTGGGAGTGCTGGTTTTGTTGGAGGAGGTAATTGAGTGAGGCTGAGTGCGGTGGTGATAGTGGTGATGCTGGCGGCGATGGTGGCAGGGACAGCAGCGGCGTGTGGGGTTGGTTGGTGGCGCAAGAGTTGGTGGTGGTGGTTGGAGCAGTTATCGTGACAGGAGCAGCAATGGTGAGTGCTGGTTTGGTTGGAGGAGGTGGTTGAGTGATGTTGACTGCAGTTGTGATGGTGATTGGAGCAGTGATCGTGACAGGAGCAGCAATGGTGAGTGCTGGTTTGAAGGTGAATGTTTGTTTCTTTGCGCCACATCTGTTTCCTTTCGTCTTCTTTTGAGCCCACTGAATTCGTCTCAAAGACTTGGCAGGAGACTCCTTTTCCGCCTGGTTTTTGAGAATTCTCAAAAACCAGCTTGTGTCTTAATGCACAGGCAGGAGTGGTGCTATCGGTGGTGGAGGGAGCAGTCAAAGCGACCTACGTTACAGCAGCAGGGAAACCCTCTTGAATATCTTCCTTCCCTCTGCCCTCCACCGACATGCAAAACAATCACACTCAGTGTTCCTCATTTGTTCCCTTTCCGCATTGCTACAGGCGGGTGTGGTGCTATCGGTGGTGGAGGGGGCAGTCAAAGCGACCTACGTTACAGCAGCAGGGAAACCCTCTTGAATATCTTCCTTCCCTCTGCCCTCCACCGACATGCAAAACAATCACACTCAGTGTTCCTCATTCGTTCCCTTTCCGTCTTCTCATGTGCATTGCTACAGGCGGGTGTGGTGCTATCGGTGGTGGAGGGGGCAGTCAAAGCGACCTACGTTACAGCAGCAGGGAAACCCTCTTGAATATCTTCCTTCCCTCTGCCCTCCACCGACATGCAAAACAATCACACTCAGTGTTCCTCATTTGTTCACTTTCCGTCTTCTCATGTGCATTGCTACAGGCGGGTGTGGTGCTATCGGTGGTGGAGGGGGCAGTCACAGCGACCTACGTCACAGTAGCAGAGGCGCCCCACTCTGATCTCTACCCTTCCTTCCCCCACCCACCAATACCCCATCTCTATGCATTCCTACAGGCGGGTGGGGTGTTGTCAGTGGTGGAGGGAGCAGTCACAGCGACCTACGTGACAGCAGCAGAGGGCCCCACTCTGATTGGCTGCGTGGACATGTTACACCAGCGGTTACAGCACCGCAACGGCAAGCAGAGGATCTCACCCTGATTTCTTCCTCAACTCCCTTCCTCTCTTCCTGCCTTCTCATTTGCATTCCACCTTCTTATATGCACCTCTGCAGGCGGGTGTGGTGCTATCGGTGGTGGAGGGAGCAGTCACAGCGACCTACGTCACAGTAGCAGAGGACCCCACTCTGATTGGCTGCGTCGACGCCGAGTTTGCCGCCCAGTTACTCGACACGCTACACCAGCGGTTACAGCACCGCAGTGGCAAGCCGCTGCCGCCCAGCCTGGCTTCAGATGGTCTTGTTGGGGGGGTGCCGGCAACATGAGTGGGAGAGGGGGAAAGTAAGCCGCCCAGTTACTTTGACACGCTACACCAGCGGTTACAGCACCGCAGCGGCAAGCCGCTGCCGCCCAGCCTGGCTTCAGATGGTCTTGTTGGGGGGGTGCCGGCAACATGAGTGGGAGAGGGGGAAAGTAAGCCGCCCAGTTACTTGACACGCTACACCAGCGGTTACAGCACCGCAGTGGCAAGCTGCTGCCACCCAGCCTGGCTTCAGATGGTCTTGTTGGGGGAGTGCCGGCAACATGACAAAAAGTGCCGCCCACTTACTCCGTCCGTATGTTACAGCACTGCACTGCACTGCTGATTCAGTCGGCTGCTTCCCAGCCTGGCATTAGACGGGTGCCAGCAACCTGAGTGGCGGCAAGTAGAATAGTTTTGTTTCCATAGGCACCTGGTACGTTACACCAGCAGCTGCAGCAATGCTGCGAAAAGCCACTGCCTGCCAGCCTGGCATCTGATTGGATGGTCTTGTGGGAAGCGTCGTTGAGCCAGCATGAGTGTTCAAGAAAATCAAAAATTTGCTTACTAGTGTTGCAAGTTCTTACATCCAGTGGTACTGTATAAAAGGCAACATATCAGTATACAATACTGAGTGTAATAATGAAGGGGAATGGCGGCGCCAGAGTCACGATTAGGGAGAAACATGAATGAAAAAAAAAACAGATACCGGAAAACGCTGTGAAGGGAGTAAGGAAATCCTAAGATAAAGAACAAGCGGGAAGAAGACGAGGGAGGGGGGAGGGGAGGGTGGCCGGGTCGCGTCCTGAGCGAACCTAACCACCCCTCGGGCATAAGGGCGGCTTAGAAGAAGACGTTAGGAGGCAGCAGCACGCCGTTAGTGCCGTGAACGCACAGCAGAATCAGCTTCGCCGCGGCGATGTCTCCCCAGGTAACCACCGCCATCTGCGTCGCGTCGTTCGCGCCAGGCGGGGAGAAGATCACCGTGTTCTTAAGAGCCGACTTCTGCTTCACGAGTTGCACGCCGTAGACCGTGCGGAAGCGCGCTCCGGGCTGCGCGCGGCGGAGGAAACCGACGGGAAGCTTCTGCAGGATCATGTGGTATTCGAGGAGCTTGATGAGCTTCGAACCGGAGAGCTGCGACTTGACGCGCAGCGGGAGGGTTGCAAACGCGCGATCGGTGGGGACGAGAAGAGTCACCGGCTGGGTCTGCACGTAACGCGCGAGGATAGACTCGAAGCCTGTTGCGGGGAACAAGGGAAAGGGGGAACAAAACCAGGAAGGAACAAGGGAAGGGGGGAACGAGGGAAAACGAGTTGAGACGACTCAAAAGCAGAAGCGTCACGGGCTGGGTCTGCACGTAACGCGCGAGGATCGACTCGAAGCCTGTTGGGAAAAGAGAGGGGGGCCGGGGGGGGGGTGGGGGGGGGGGGGGGGGGGGGGAGGAGGGGGGAAGGGGAAGAGGGGGGGGGGGGGACGGTGGAGGAAGGGGAAAAAGGAAAGGGTGGGGAATACATCAGTTAGTAACACGGAGAAACATGACCACACCAGGAGGAACTAATGATACGAAACCACTTTTGAGGCGCATCAAAACACGGAGAAGTATGATCACACCAGGAGGAACTAATGATACGAAACCGCGGAAAGCTGACGGTGACAGGGGAGGAAAGAAAACAAAATAAATCCGTTCGGCCATAATAGGGGGAAAGCGGCGTATGGCACGAGCTTGTAAACTAGCTACAGGAAGTGGTGCCGGCAGTCTTAGGGTTAGAATGACGGGGCGGGGAGTGGTTGCGGAGAGGCGTTGCGCGGGAGAGAAGGGTGGTGCGGAAGAGAAGGGGGGGAATGCTGACGTTGCTGGGGAAGGGGAGGGGAACACCGCACGTGAAACGTTTAGCAGCTTGCGGAAAGTTTTGAGGGAGCCTTGCTTTTGATAACTCTCAAGAGGAACACGCACCGGAGTCTTTGAGTAGCTTGAGGAAGGTTTTGAAGGAGCCCTGCTTCCTCAGGGCCTCCTTGGCTGCTGTCAGGTCCGCCGCTCCGTCGGGACGCGCGGAAACGACGGTGAGACACAGCATGAGAGTCAGAGCTACGACGGCAACGAACCGAGCCATCGTGAAACTAACCGAGCTACGAGGACCTTCCTACTGAAGCACGACCAGAATAATTGTAGCGTAAACGAAATGCGAAGGATTTGAGATAGTGCACAAGATGATACTAGTCGGAGATGTGAATTTGAAGGGAGGATGTTCAGAGGGGAATACGGAGCGAGGACCACAGCACACCACACAGAGCTAACACGCGAGAAGGAATGGCTATGGTTGTTTGTGGGAGTCGGCAGAAGGGTATGGCTGGCTGGCTAGGGGGAGGGGAAGGGGGAGGAAAGTGATGGGGGGTGGATTTGGTAAGGGAAAAGGGGAATGGTCAAGCGGAAAGGAAGGGAGATGGGATGGGAAAGGTGAGCGGGGGGAAGGAAACGCGTTGCTTCAAGGTTTGCGGAAGCTGATGGCGCAGAGCAGCAAGAGTGGTAGGTGGGCAAATGACAGAATACTTGGGTACTGTTTAGGGTTGCTCCTAGGGATTTTTAGGCTTCCCGTAAAAAACTCGGTATTTATCACAGGTTCGTCGGGTTTTAAAAGGCGCTTAAACTCGACTAGCGCAAACAAAACAGAATCATTTTTTTTTATGAAATTTCAGCTTTTCTTTCAAGAAATACAAAATTTCCCGGCTTCAGCCCGATAGCTCCCAGGTGAAGTTCACTCCTCAGTCAGCATGTTGCGACTGCTAGTTTGTCGCACCTGGCCTGGCGTACAACATGACTCCAACTGTCAACAGCATTAGAGAGGTTCGTTAGCGAGTCGATGCGTTTCTAGAGTCAGGGAACTCGATTGTGAACGTGCTCTCTGGCGTAAATTTTCGTTTAATGCCACTCCGTTACTCCTTACTCCATTTGCAGAATAAGGCCACCCAAAGTAAACCTGTAATCACGAATGCACAAGCCTTCTTGTCAAAGAATGTCAAAATTAGGGAAGCAATTTGTATGCGCACGGCCATTACCTACTACTTTAACTGTTCATCATACCATAAAAGGCGGACACTAATTTCTTCATATGATACCCATCACCAAGGTAAAAAATAGTTACTATTAATCCCATCAAGGAACACCTAATCTCGAAACATCAGCTATGAAGGCTCGTGATGCATAACCAGAATGAATACATTTGTACACACAGCTCGACGCTGTAAGCTGTACTAAAAAGGTCCCATTACGTCCGGCCTATATACTTCAGTCTTCAGCATTAATATACACTCCTCTAAGCAGCTCTTCTGCAAGCTCCGTTTCTGCCGATACCGAATCGGTGGGTTGTAGTGACGTCAGAGGAGCGAAGGCAGAAGGCACCTGTGGAAATGGTAGGGACAGGCAGCAGAAAGAGAGGGAAAAAGGTTGAGAGAGCGAGCAGATCTTTTGTGAGCTCTGTCTCTGCCGATACCGAATTGGCGGGTTGTAGTGAAGGCATCGTAGTGGGTTGTAGTATCGTCAGAAGGCATCTGTAGGATGGTGGAGACAGGCAGAGGAAGGAGAGGTCATGGCGCCATGACCAATATTCCCTTTGGTGAGTTACCTGCTGGGGTTTTTGGTATGCTAACCGGAGAAATGGAGTGGCGGTAGAGGAAGCAGTTAGCAGCTGCAGTCGCAATCGCCATGACGACTAATCCTGTTAGGAAGTTACCTGCAACCACCCGGAATCACCTGCTGGGGTGCCTGGTTTGCTTACCAGAGAGATGGAGTGGCGGGAGAGCAAGAAGACAGCAGCGGCAGTCGCTATCACCATGACGACTATTCCTGTTAGGAAGTTACCTGCAACCACCCGGAATCACCTGCTGGGGTGCCTGGTTTGCTTACCAGAGAGATGGAGTGGCGGGAGAGCAAGAAGACAGCAGCGGCAGTCGCTATCACCATGACGACTATTCCCACAACGATTCCGCTCCAGAAGCGGTAACCAGTCAGTCGAGGTGGGAGGGGACCTGCGGGTAAGAATGGGTGGGAAGACAATCACAAGCACAAGTCAATTAGTCAAAGCCAGAACAGCCAATCATGCTATTCCCGCTACGATTCCGCTCCAGAAGCGGTAACCAGTCAGTCGAGGGAGGGGACCTGCGAGTGGCAGAGCAGTTGCAAGGAAGGATCAGTTCGTTGCGTAACGACTTAGTATAACTTGGATTGGGTAGAAATTGCTTCATACTGTAGCAAAGAGTTAGAATGACTCGAGCTCCAGAAGCGGTACTCACCGGTACTGACTGGTACTGACCCCTAATGACTGGTAATGAGTGATGCTGAGTGGTACTGACCGGTATAGGAGCGGAGTGTGGGGCTGAGAGGGTTGCGGAAGTCAACCCACACAAAGGCAAAGTCTGAAGGATGGCATGGTGTGATGTGGTGTGTTGTGGCGTGGCGTGATGTGGTGCAGAGTGGTGTAGTGTGGTAGTATGGCATGGCATGGAATGGAACAAAACAAATGAAAATCATTGGGTGAGAAGAAGGGCTTAGAAAAAAAAAGGGTGATGAGTGTATTATGTGCACTCATCCGCCTTGCTAGAAGGAGAAAGAACAAAAACAAAGAAAGAAGAAGAATGAAAGAAGATGCAGTGTACTGTGCTGTGTGCACTCTCTGAAGTGCCTCAAAACGAATTTTTTTTTTAAAGTCTATTTCTGTGTCGTTCAAAAAATGCATCTTCCGCGGATGAAACTTCTATTTCTGGGTTGACTCAAAGAACACGGGAAGCACATCACCTGTATTAGTGTATGGAAACGTCTCCTTGCACATCTGAGCGGGTTCCTTCCTCACTCAATATTAGGCATCTCACTAACGCCTTCCCATGCAAAGCACACCTGTATCAGTGTATGGAACTCCTTGGACATCTGAGCGGGTTCCTTCACGAGACGATGCCCCTCCACCACTTTTGAGGCGCCTCAAAAGTCCTTCACGAGTCAAAGGTCTCTCTACCCGCAAGTTCCTTCACAAGACGATGCCCCTCCACCAGAAGCGACCCCTGTGCTGCTTCCTCCACCCCCGTTACTATGCATCCCAAGACTTCTTATCAAAGATAAACTACAATTGTAATACCTGTATCGGTGTACGGAAACGTCTCCTTCAACATCTGAGCGGGTTCCTTCCTCACTCAATATTAGGCATCTCACTAACGCCTTCCCATGCAAAGCACACCTGTATCAGTGTAGGGAAACGTCTTCTTGGACATCTGAGCGGGTTCCTTCACGAGACTTTGGCATGGCCAGCAAGCCCCACTGTGATGCTTCCTTCATCCCTGTTATAAGCCACCTCAACATTACTTCCATAGGCAAATAACACTACACTAGCTGTATCAGTGTATGGAAACGTCTCCTTGAACATCTGAGCGGGTTCCTTCACCAGGCGATGCCCCTCCACCAGCAGCGACCCCTGTGCGGCTTTCTCCATCCCCCATATTATGCATCTCCAGACTGCTTATTATAACAAAACCAGCAATATATAATACCTGTATCGGTATATGGAAACGTTTCTTTAAACATCTGAGCGGGTTCCTTCACGAGCCGATGCCCCTCCACCAGCAGCGACCCCTGAGCCGTGAAGTTGTAAGAGAGGAAGGCATGCCTCGCGTAGCGCCTGTTGCTGTCATCCCTCCCCATCACTTGCAGCAGGAGAATGCCGTCCCTATGTATAAAAACAAGGAGAGGAGGGGAAGAAAAGGAAATGGAGTTGTAAGAGAGGAAGGCGTGGCGCGCATAGCGCCTGTTGCTGTCATCCCGCCCCATCACTTGCAGCAGGAGGATGGCGTCCCTGGGGATAGAAACAGAGAAACACGGAGAGGGAGGGAAGTGAAGAGGCGCGGCGTGCGTAGCGCCTGTTGCTGTCATCCCGCCCCATCACTTGCAGCAGGAGGAGGATGCCGTCCCTACAAACACCAAGAAAGGGGAGGGAAGCAAGCAGGTGAAGTTGTAAGAGAGGAAAGCGTGACGCGCATAGCGCCTGTTGCTGTCATCCCGCCCCATCACTTGCAGCAGGAGGAGGATGCCGTCCCTACAAACACCAAGAAAGGGGAGGGAAGCAAGCAGGTGAAGTTGTAAGAGAGGAAAGCGTGACGCGCATAGCGCCTGTTGCTGTCATCCCGCCCCATCACTTGCAGCAGGAGGAGGATGCCGTCCCTACAAACACCAAGAAAGGGGAGGGAAACAAGCAGGTGAAGTTGTAAGAGAGGAAAGCGTGACGCGCATAGCGCCTGTTGCTGTCATCCCGCCCCATCACTTGCAGCAGGAGGAGGATGCCGTCCCTACAAACACCAAGAAAGGGGAGGGAAGCAAGCAGGTGAAGTTGTAAGAGAGGAAAGCGTGACGCGCATAGCGCCTGTTGCTGTCATCCCGCCCCATCACTATGCCGATGAGGCCCCGCAGCATATGTGGGTCGCCTCGTTGTGCGTGGGGGTGCAGGAGCTGAGAGGCTGGTTCCTGCTGATGTGCTTCTGATGGAAAAGAGAAGGAAATCAATGGGGCGCAAGGGTGAGTGGGAGGAGCTTAGTAGGAGCCTGTACTCGCCCCCCACCTCCCCAAACCTTTTTCTTCTGCACGCTCCTACAGAGCCCCTCCCGAAGGAGGGGAGGGAGGGAGGAGGGGAGGGAGGGAAACAAGGAGATTTAACAAAGCCCAGCCTCCTTCACGAGAAAACATCAGCTCCCTGCACCACTGACCCATCTGCTGGAATTCTGGCGCCGATCAGGCTGAGGGGAGAGAAGTGATTGTGAACATCCCTGTTTCTGCTCTGCTCAACTGAATGTACGGGGATAACGCCGCTCCCCGCACCACTGACCTATCTGCTGCTACCGTGGCCCCTAAAAGCCTTTTGAGTCACATCGCCAAACGCGTCCTCCCTGGCTTGAATGCGCCACCCGCGGCCACTGGTGCGTGAAGGGGGGAAGAGGGGCACAGCAGATGAGGAAGGAGAGGACAAGTAACCAAGCAAGCAGTGACATGTGCTCCTGACCCGATTCTCCACCAGCTCTGTCACATCGCCAAACGCGTCCTCCCTGGCTTGAATGCGCCACCCGCGGCCACTGGTGCGTGAAGGGGGGAAGAGGGGCACAGCAGATGAGGAAGGAGAGGACAAGTAACCAAGCAAGCAGTGACATGTGCTCCTGACCCGATTCTCCACCAGCTCTGTCACATCGCCAAACGCGTCCTCCCTGGCTTGAATGCGCCACCCGCGGCCACTGGTGCGTGAAGGGGGGAAGAGGGGCACAGCAGATGAGGAAGGAGAGGACAAGTAACCAAGCAAGCAGTGACATGTGCTCCTGACCCGATTCTCCACCAGCTCTGTCACATCGCCAAACGCGTCCTCCCTGGCTTGAATGTGCCACCCGCGGCCACTGGTGCGTGAAGGGGGGAAGAGGGGCACAGCAGATGAGGAAGGAGAGGACAAGTAACCAAGCAAGCAGTGACATGTGCTCCTGACCCGATTCTCCACCAGCTCTGTCACATCGCCAAACGCGTCCTCCCTGGCTTGAATGCGCCACCCGCGGCCACTGGTGCGTGAAGGGGGGAAGAGGGGCACAGCAGATGAGGAAGGAGAGGACAAGTAACCAAGCAAGCAGTGACATGTGCTCCTGACCCGATTCTCCACCAGCTCTGTCACATCGCCAAACGCGTCCTCCCTGGCTTGAATGCGCCACCCGCGGCCACTGGTGCGTGAAGGGGGGAAGAGGGGCACAGCAGATGAGGAAGGAGAGGACAAGTAACCAAGCAAGCAGTGACATGTGCTCCTGACCCGATTCTCCACCAGCTCTGTCACATCGCCAAACGCGTCCTCCCTGGCTTGAATGCGCCACCCGCGGCCACTGGTGCGTGAAGGGGGGAAGAGGGGCACAGCAGATGAGGAAGGAGAGGACAAGTAACCAAGCAAGCAGTGACATGTGCTCCTGACCCGATTCTCCACCAGCTCTGTCACATCGCCAAACGCGTCCTCCCTGGCTTGAATGCGCCACCCGCGGCCACTGGTGCGTGAAGGGGGGAAGAGGGGCACAGCAGATGAGGAAGGAGAGGACAAGTAACCAAGCAAGCAGTGACATGTGCTCCTGACCCGATTCTCCACCAGCTCTGTCACATCGCCAAACGCGTCCTCCCTGGCTTGAATGCGCCACCCGCGGCCACTGGTGCGTGAAGGGGGGAAGAGGGGCACAGCAGATGAGGAAGGAGAGGACAAGTAACCAAGCAAGCAGTGACATGTGCTCCTGACCCGATTCTCCACCAGCTCTGTCACATCGCCAAACGCGTCCTCCCTGGCTTGAATGCGCCACCCGCGGCCACTGGTGCGTGAAGGGGGGAAGAGGGGCACAGCAGATGAGGAAGGAGAGGACAAGTAACCAAGCAAGCAGTGACATGTGCTCCTGACCCGATTCTCCACCAGCTCTGTCACATCGCCAAACGCGTCCTCCCTGGCTTGAATGCGCCACCCGCGGCCACTGGTGCGTGAAGGGGGGAAGAGGGGCACAGCAGATGAGGAAGGAGAGGACAAGTAACCAAGCAAGCAGTGACATGTGCTCCTGACCCGATTCTCCACCAGCTCTGTCACATCCCCAAACGCGTCCTCCCGTGCTTGAATGCGCCACCCACGACCACTAGAGGGCGATAGTGAGAGAGGAGAAGGTAGTGTAAGATAAGAGGGAGCAAGCCGGAAGCAATGACAGGCCACTCAATTCACTGACTCTCCACCAGCTCTGTCACATCCCCAAACGCGTCCTCCCGTGCCTGAATCCGCCACCCACGTCCGCTGGGGGTTGAAGGCGGTAAGAGAGGCAAAGCAGGTGCGCGAGGAGGGGACATATAGGCAAGCAAGTAATGTCATGTGCTCCTGACTCTCCACCAGCTCTGTCACTCCCCACAAGCTTTGCCACATTGCCAAACACGTCCTCCCGTGCTTGAATGCGCCACCCGCGGTCGCTGGGAGTTGAGGGCAGTAAGAGGGGCAGAGCAGGTGAGCGAGGAGGGGACAAATAGGCAAGCAAGGAACGACATGTGCTCCTGACTCTCCACCAGCTCTGTCACATCCCCGAATGCATCCTCCTGTGCTTGAATGCGCCACCCGCGACCACTGGTGGGTAGGGTGGGAGAAACAGGTAAGCATGTAATGACTGACATCACACCCTTCTCGCTCCACCAGCAACCTCTCTTGCCTGAATGTGCCACCCGCGGCCACTGGTGTGTGATGGGAGAAGGGAGTTAGAAGAGAGCAAGCAGGTGAGCAAGGGGGGGTTAGATAGGAGGAGAGCAAGCAATGACAGGACACTCAATTCACTCTCCCTCAACTCATGCGCCACCCACTGCCACTACATTTATATACTTACCAAGGTGCTCATGACACCCAGCCCGTTTTCTCTAAATACGTACTTTCGTTTGACATAGGTGCTCATGATGTTCAGCTCATTGCTCCATCGACCCGGATCCGTGCTGCTCAGAATAGATACGGACAAAGAAAAGAAAAGAAAAAAACATATATAAAAAAACACTTGAATAAAGAAATGGACAAAACAAAGCAGGCCCAGCAAAACAGGTCGCTTATACTAATTTTTTTTGTTCAAGTTCATAACATGTAAAAAAAAACGCCCGCTCACGAGGTGAGGAAGAGCATGCCGTCCTGTGACGGGTTGACACCTGGCAGCTCCAGACTGGCTCCCCGGCCGTCCCACCGCATAATGCGTGAGAGATCAGTGGGGAGGTTGGGCGAGTGGGATGCGTTTGTCGCCCACTTGGCCTCTGCTCCCTTTTCCAGCTGCGAAGGAGCATCCACGTACCCAGCGGTCCAGCCTGTAGAATGCAACAAGAGCGGGGTACATAGGGGTTGGGTTGGGTTGGGAGGTTGGGTTGGGGGAGTGGGACGCGTTGGTGGCCCATTTCGACCCTGCTCCCTTCTCCAGCTGCGAAGGAGCATCCACGTACCGGTCCAGCCTGGGGGGGCAACCATACCACCACAGCACACAGACACACCTTGGTGGTAGGGAAACCATGCGATGGAGATGCCAATAGTGCCTTCCTCCTGCTCGCCCGCCTTCCACCCCCCACATGCACGTACAACACAAGGACATGCGGTATGGAAACCACACACACAGACAGACGCACCTTGCTGATAAGGTAACCGTGCAATTGAGACATCATTCACACCCTCCTCCTGCTCGCCCGGCTCCCCACCCCCCACAGGCACATACAACACAAGCACATGTGGTATGGAAACCACACACACACACAGACGCACCTTGCTGGTAAGGTAACCATGCGATTGATACGTCAATGTTGCCCTCCTCCTGCTCTCCCGCCTTCCCATCCCAATAGCAACTGAGGTGTTGACTATGTATTGGAAATCACCTCTCCCCCCTTTCCTCTTTCCCACACACACACATACGTACCTTGGTGGTAAGGAAACCATGCGATTGAGACGTCAATCACACCCTCGTCCTGCTCGCCCGCCTTCCCAATAGCAACTGATACGTTGAGACAGGCGCACATGCAGAAAGAAAGACGCGCACAGCAGCAACAGGTTGATTTTTTAGACGTCTAAAACTTTACCCGATAGTGACCGAAAAGATGCAAAGCATAACTTTTTTTCTTTGTTGTTCTCGACATGCCCAGAGTCAAAATCAAAAGAGACCGAGACAGCACACGCACTCAGCAAGAGGTTGGAGTGTAGGGAGGATAGATGGAGCATGCGTGCATGCATGGATGCATGGATGCATGGAGCAATGAGGACACGCACTGTCGATGTTGGGATTGTCATGCCAAACTCCCCTGTGGTCATGCGGTGTGCATTGTGAGTTATGAGTCGACTCAAATGTAGTGCATGGATGCAGGGCACGTACTGTCAATGTTGGGATTGTCGTTGCCAAACTCTCCAGTTGTCATGCTGTGTGTAAGTGATACAAAACAAGGAGAGAAAGGGGGAATGAATGGGGGAGGAGAGGAAGGGGGGGGGAGGGGAGGGACGGGATAAACATCCAATTATATGTTTCTCAGGCTCATGTTGTGTGCAGGGAAGGGACGGGGGAATCAGCAACATTTTGCTAATGTTGTGTGCAGGGAATCAGCAAATACAATGGAACAATGAAATGAAGGACGAGAGGATTTGCACGAACCCGTTGATTGGGGAAGAACAGCTAGTTCAACAGTTTTTAGACTCACATAGTTACATTTTTAGACTCACATAGTTACATTTTTGGACTCACGAACCTGTTGAACTCTTGTTTGAAACGAAGGAAGAAAGGATTCGCACGAACTTGTTGATTGGGGAAGAACAGCTAGTTCAACAGTGTTTTATGTGTAAATGTAACTATGCGAGTCTAAAAACTCGTACCTGTAACCGTAACCGTGTGAGTCGTATATGCATGACTGAGCAAGGGAACACGTGGGAGGGGGTAAGAAACGAGAGGAAGTGGGTTTGGATTGAACGACAAGACACTGGATGGCATGGTATGGTGTGGTGTGGAATGGTATGGTATGCTATGCTATGCTATAGTATGACACGTCATGGTATAGCATGGCATGACGTGACATGAAATGACATGGGTATGACATGGATGGGATAGACGGGACATGTAAAGAATGGATGGGATGGCATGGAGTAGGATTGGATGGGATGGGATGGGATGGGATGGGATGGGATGGGATGGGATGGGATGGGATGGGATGGGATGGGATGGGATGGGATGGGATGGGATGGGATGGGATGGGATGGGATGGGATGGGATGGCATGGCATGGGATGGGATGGGATGGGATGGGATGGGATGGGATGGGGTGGGGTGGGATGGGATGGGATGGGATGGCATGGAGTAGGATGGGATGGGATGGGATGGGATGGGATGGGATGGGATGGGATGGGATGGGATGGGATGGGATGGGATGGGATGGGATGGGATGGGATGGGATGACATAGAATGGGATGGGATGGGATGGGATGGGATGGGATGGGATGGGATGGCATGGGATGGGATGGCATGGGATGCGATGGGATGGGATGGGATGGGATGGGATGGGATGGGATGGGATGGGATGGGATGGGATGGGATGGGATGGGATGGGATGGGATGGGATGGGATGGGATGGGATGGTATGGGATGGGATGGGATGGGATGGGATGGGATGGGATGGGATGGGATGGGATGGGATGGGATGGGATGGGATGGGATGGGATGGGATGGGATGGGATGGGATGGGATGGGATGGGATGGGATGGGATGGCATGGAGTAGGATGGGATGGGATGGGATGGGATGGGATGGGATGGGATGGGATGGGATGGGATGGGATGGGATGGGATGGGATGGGATGGGATGGGACGAAACGACAACACGCACCACAGTGCCATAGAAAAACGGCGCACCATCGTTCCACTGCTGCCCGTTTTGAGCCACCGAGCCGAGTACCACACCCTTATCCAGGCTCGGACGCCAAGCCTGACAAACAGGATCGGACAGGCCCAAGTACCACACCATGCGCCCCCAACAGTCCAAGAAGTGAAATTGCAGCTGAAAACGAGAAACAAACCCTAACGCATCAAGGAGAAGTATAACTTGAACAGGAATAATGAAGAATATCACCTGCAGTGCAAATTCCATCGGGTTATCCGACTGGTAACCATCCTTTTCCCCGGGAATGCCGAGATTCGTCTGCGAATACGGATGCCTGGGAGCGAGCCGCGGCGCGAAATCCCCTTGGTTCCACCGCGACAGCGAGAACGGAATGGGGCCCTGACCTTCGATATCTACGATAATGTTGTTCTTGTCGTCCCCGTTATACTCACGCACTAGCGACGCGTTCATCGAAACTTTCATGCTACTCACACTCGTGCCCCAGAAGGGGAGCGGAACGTCTTCGGGACTTAAAGCCCGAGGGACGACCGCGTGAATAGGTTCGTACGGGTGAGAATAAGCGCTAACGGAACACGGCGAACCAGAGAGGAAGACTAAGAGAGGAGCGAGGACTAGAGAAAGCCGACGCCATCGAAGAGGGGAGTCGCGAAGACACACTGAGTCCATTTCGAGCTAGTATTTGCAATAACTACTTTTTAGTTCTTTTAGTACGCCTGTCAGCAACTACGCAGAAAATAGTCAGGGCTGGACACTTGGGATGATCACCGGACTTGTGAATCGCTATCCGTTGCTTCGTGATAGGGTATTATTGAATCCAACACGAGCTGCATATGGGGAAAAGAGCTAAAGGTGTTACGACACAAGCTCATGGCTACACCAATCATGTTTCTGTACCAGGACACATTTTCAGGGTATAGGCACACTTGGATGTCTCTTTCAAATATTTTCCAACTTCAATCTTTCTGGAAAATTGCCATTTTAGACTTCGGCTTGAAATAACACATAATCGCGATACCGTCAGAATCTTATATTTCTCTAGTCTGCAGTGGGTTACTCGATAGTGGGTACAGCCCTGTTAGGGTTTGCTATATCTCATTGTTTGCTAGTGAAACCACCCTTCTGCTGTTCATTCCTACTTGCTATCTTGACATGCTATCAGAGCAGGTCGACCCTCGCGAGTCGATCCTGTGGATGGGCCCACCCTGCTGTTTCCGCTGATGTCTTGCCGAGGCGCGCGACGTTCTCTGCCTACCGCGCGCCCGGCGCGCGCGGCGTTTTTCTTCCCGCCGCGCGCCCTGTCCGCCACGCGCTCGGGGCGCATGGCGGTTTCCTACCCGCCGCGCGCCCCGGGCGCGCGCAGCGGTTTCGTCGCCCGTCACGGCGTCACGGGGGCCCGCGTGTCAGAATGTGATGTTTGTCTAGCCTGCAGTGGGGTACTCTACAGCGAGTACAACCCAATTAGGGTTTCCTATATGTATCTCAACTGCTGCTAGTGAAAACACCTCTTTTCTGTTTCTCGTTTTTCGCTTGCTGTTTCGACATGCTATCAGAGCAGGTCGACCCTCCTGGGTCGATCCTGTGGGTGGGCCCTACCCGATGCTTCCGCTGCTCTACTGCTTGTAACGTGCCCCGGGCGCGCGCCGTTTTTCTTCCTGCCGTGCGCTCGGAGCGCGCAGCGTTTTTTCTTCCCGCCGCGCGCCCCAAGCGCGGCGGTTTTTCGCCCTGCCCGCCGCGCGCCCCGGGAGCGCGCGGCGGTTTCCTGCCCCGGTGACCCGCGCGTCGCCCCCCGTCGCCCGACGCGGCCCGCGCGACCTGCGCTAGGCCCGCGCGCGACCCGTACGGGCTGCGCCAGGCCCGCGCCCCACCCCCGCTGCTGCCCGCACTCCTGTGTTAGGGTTTGGGGGTGGAGAGTATGGGGGTGCCGGGTGTGTGAGCCGTCCCCTGCTCCTCCTCCTCCTCCGTCTCCCACTGCTGCAGCTGCCGCTGAGGGGGGTGGATGTGTTGGAGCCGCCGGAGTGGTACGAGGGGGGTGGCGTGTGAGCAGTGCTAGAGGTGTAGCAGGGAGTGTGTGAAAGGGGTGTGGGACAGTTGGGGGAGGTTGACCGGAGGTAGCCGACTTGTCGTCCGCAGCGCCTGAAGTCCAGAGAGCCACGACCCCCTGTAGCCTGAGTAGTCCCGGGCTCTGCGCCCGGTAGCCACAGTGTGAGCACTCCTGGTAGTCGAGAGAGCCACGACCCCCTGTGGCTTGAGTAGTTCGGGGCTCTGCGCCCGGTAGCCACAGTGTGTGCACTCCTGGGAGCACAGTGAGCCAGCTGCGTCTGTCGCCGTGTAGTCCGGGTTTAGCCTGGTAGCGACAGTGCTGCGCACTTCTGCTGCCTGTGTGTCTGCAGCTTCAGCCGTCGCCTCCCATCTTCTCGCCCTCACAGTTTCTCCCCCTCCTCACTTGCCCTCTGTGACTGCCTCTAGCTTTGCTTATACTTGTGAACTACTGCTCTGCCTACTTGTTGTGCTGATTATACCCCACTTTGACTATGGGGGTGTGTCAGAATGTGATGTTTGTCTAGCCTACAGTGGGGTACTCTATAGCGAGTACAACCCAATTAGGGTTTCCTATATGTATCTCAACTGCTGCTAGTGAAAACACCTCTTTTCTGTTTCTCGTTTTTCGCCTGCTGTTCCGACACCGCTTACTGTCCCCTCTCGTCGCCCGTCGCGGCGTCCCGGGGGCCCGCGCGTCCCCCCCTCCCGTCGCCCGTCGTGGCGCCCCGGGGGTCCGCGCGCCGCCCTACCCATCGCCCGTCGCGGTGCCCTGGGGGCCCGCGCGTCGCCCCCCCTCCCGTCGCCCGTCGCGGCTCCCTGGGGGCCCGCGCGCCGCCCTGCCCGTCGCCCGTCGCAGCGCCACATGGACCCGCGCGCCGCCCCGCTTCTGCTCGCACGCCGCCCCAGCTGCTGCCCGCGTTTCTGCCCCGCGCCGCGCGCGCGCCGCCTGCGTTGGGGGTGTGGGGGTGGCGGGTATGGGGGTGGCGGGTGTGTGAGCCGTCCCCTGCTCCTCCTCCTCCTCCTCCGTCTCCCACTGCTGCAGCTGCCGCTGAGGGGGGTGGGTGTGTGGGAGCCGAGTGAGTGGCGCTAGGGAGGTGCTGTGG